TATATAATGTTAGGTAATTAGAAAAACAACTTTTTTTTTTATCATTAATAATTTTAAAAAAAACTTACAAATTTCCTTTGCTTATGTTGGCATTCTATTAATAATTTAATTGGTTTGACAACATCATCCTCTAAATTGCTAGAAAATGACCTGAAAAAAAAAGTCACATTCAAATTACTAAAAAAAAAAAAAACATTTTTAATTTCGCTGTATAAGTGTTATAAACTAAAATAGCCCACTAGACAACCCATGGAGGGCCAAGGCCTACTGTGTCCATCTCAGTTTTCTTGACCACGGCCTCTATGGTGCAGCGGCAGATATCCCTTTTGGGTGGTCAACCGAACGTGGATCCCCCAGTAGTTATTTAGTCCCCAAGCTCGCTGGGTACTCTTTTTATCTACCCATTGAAGGGCTGAAAGGCTGGTATACTGCCGTGCAAAAGAAAAATATACGTAAGCGATACAAAATTCAAAATTAGGATTTTTATATATTTGGCATTTCTGTATAAGATCTCTCATAGCAAAAGATTTTTTTCTTCAAAATTAAATTTTGTTTCATCAGCTTTTTGAAATTTTATTTTAGCGTTCATAGTACTATTAGCAATAGAAAGAAAATAGTTGCTAAGCCACTTTTTTCGAGATTTATTGTAAGGCACTTACGTTATTTCATTTGTACGACAGTACAGGTGCTTTAAACATCGAAAAAAAATTATAATATATAGGTATATTTTGAACAATAAAAGAAATTAATAATTTTATAGATATTTTTCCCCTAAAAAATGGAATAATAAAATTAAAACAATGCAAAAAAAGTCAAACAATTTGGTAGGATAATTTTTAACAGAACAAAATATAGAGTAATTTAGTTTGAAAACAATCAGCGAAGTATGAAATAGTTCCGTTATTTATTTAATATTGTAATTTTGAAATTAAACATTAACACACCCAAACTGCAAAATACGATCACAATTCTTCCAGTTATATTTATGTAAATAAATATTAGCTAGTTTTACTAAAATGAATTAAATGAAAAGGAAAAATGTAATAAAATAGGAATAAGTAGATTCGTAAATCTTGAGTTGATTACAATTTTTATCAATGCAATAAAAATATAGTTTATATCGAGATTAGTTATAAAAAGTATACAATTCAAGGTTTACTAACATTTAATATTATTTACCGAAGGAAAGGTTATTTAGGGATTAGCCAGGTGTTTTCTCATGGTTCAGCGCTCAAGGTAAATTGGACCGAAGCACCAGAGTCAATAATCAATATAACTTGCATTACAATATAGTAAAATAAAACCAGAATATTTTCAATAAATAAGTATGAAAATAATATTATCTTGACTAATACTTTTAAAATGACTGAATGAATTATTATAGTTAATGAATTACATAGTGAATAAATTGTCATATTAAATTCATTATTATATGAAATTATTTTTATATTGAATGAAATATTATTAAGACAAGAATATTTTTAATAAGAATTTTTGAAATTTGACAAAATAATTGAAGTATTTTTTTTAGCAAAAAACTTATTCCTTTTTTTTAAATGTATTACAACAAAATTCTTTTTAAATTTTATGTATTTATTTATTCATTTAAAATAAAAACTTGATCTTGCCTAATTCAGGTGTATTCAAATCTGAAATTAGTTTTTCGCCTAAAGCTGCAGTTTTTTAAAATGATATTTTTAGTCTATTTTTTTCGACAAGTACAAGTTTGAAAACGTTAAAAAGCATGGGGTTGCGTAAATGCTACTACAAACTTCCAGGCGAGATAGGGCACATGATCAAGATTAAATTGCATAGGAACCCATGTCCGGAAATGTTGCCTAGGGCAGAAATAACGTCATACACATCTAGGGACGCTCCCCTAATATGACCTGTTCAGAAAAACACGAAAAAACAGATCATAATAGAGAAGCACTCCTAGTGGCGTACGACGACCTTTCCACGCATGAGTTCGAATGCCTTTTTAATTCTGATGATGTACCCAAATTCCTCAAGAAGTTTGTTGTTGTTACTAATGCCACTTGCTAATATCATCAAGACTGATATGGGAATCCAAATGAATTTTTAAAGCAGAGGGTGCGTTTCTTGTTTTTCAGGGGAGCCATTTATGGCCAAGAATGCGACTTCAGCCACACACACACGTCACAGCTCGTTTTACAGGGAGAATTCATTCATTCATCTACAGATCGTCATTTTCACCAAAACCACAGAACGATTAATCTCCAATTTAGTACCCCCAGAGATATTGATTTCTTATGGGAACTTGGAGGACTTTGCAACTCGGTCAGATATAAGGTGCACCGATCACCATTTAATACACAGGGGTTCTTCGATCAGCGGGATTCGAACTCACGCTCTCGCGAACACGAGACCAACGTCCTACCGACCAAGTTTGTCACAACATTTACGCTCCCTCCTGTTGTATATAACTTTCTTAAAATTGTACATTTCGACAAAAAATAAACTAAAAATGTCACTTTCCAAATTAGGAACTGATTATATTTATATTGTATAAGTATTATATAATTCAACGAATATTTTTTACGTGAAACTAAATGAAGTCAACTACAAGGTGTCTATCGTACCTGTGAGTGTCGGCTTCATTTTCCATTTGAAGAGCGACTTCCTGCCAGGCATGTTGAGTTGTCCTACAAATATATAACATTCATGTTATTAAATGATTGCAATATATTCTTTAAATACTATTTCAAGAAGAAGAAAAAATTGTATCATACCCCAGTACTAATCTAGTTGCCTTGTTTATCTTAGCAGCTAATTTCGACAAATGTTTAGCATATGTTATTTCTAGTTCAGATCTAAAAGAAGAATATTACATTTAGAAAAAACAACAGAGTACAAACTACACATAAATTTTTATAAAAACTTAGGTTAGCATATAAATATAGTATCCGTTACGTGAATTTTTCTTTAAAGGAAAATGGCGACCGATAATTAGTGAAAGCAACAAAAAAAAGTCGGGGTTTCACTACTTATTAATCAAAAGATGTAAGCAAAATACAATTTAAAAAAAGACTTCTGTGTAATTGGAACAAGAAAGCTACATGCATGAGCTTATAGTGATTGAGAAAATGAAAAACGTAGTGTTAAGAAAACGTCCATTAAAATTTGCGAAAGCTCAACTTAAAAATATATGAACCGTACATGATTTTCTTAATAAGTAATTTATTTGAGATTTAGCTTTAATTTTTAAATGTGATTATACTGTATGATGTGATTATACTGTATGATGTGATTATACTGTATATATAGGAATAATGATTAAAATTTTCTTTTTCTTTTAATTAGAGGGTTGATTCTCTTTCTCATTTATATTAGTTTCAACTTGAATATTTAGAAACATGTTCTTTCATGTTTTTCCTATCAAATAATTTTAAAAGTAAAAAGACATTTTTTTTACAGCAGCATCCGCTGAAAATATATATTTTTTTATTTCTGCACAAAGTTTCGACAAGTTTCTTATTATTCATACTAAGAAACTCGCATATTCACATATTATAAAGGGATAATATAATGGCTGATTAAAAAAGAAAAGTTTTGGCAATTACTGAGATGAGATAATAGCAAAAAGATTGAGTACTCTCAAAAAATTCCTTTTGATTCCTGAATTTATTTCCCGTTAAAAATAAATTTTCTGAAGAGCTAAATTTAAAAAAAATCATAACGATGCTAAAATAAATAATAATAACAGTAACTGATTTAACTGTTTTAAATGTCAAAATTTATTAACATTAATTTAGAAAGAGACTGCAGCGAATGACTATTTAATTTTATTTAACTTCCTTGTCAACGAACAAGGAAGTCAATTAAATTTAATAAAAATAAAATAAATGGCATTTTACAATCATTATATAATGTATAACGTTATTGTTCAACATTGTTGGCAGAGCAAAACTTTAGGAAAATTATAGCAGCTGTAATAAAACATGCTCTATAAAAAAATATTTATGCTGCAATAATTAGAGTCGTTCTTCAAAACTTGCCAAGTACAATTTATAATGCTAAATGAACAAAGTTTCATACTAGTAATTCAATGTAGGTGTATTACATATATATATACTTATGGTGGTAATATATACCCTCGGTGGTAGACGGATCAGGAGTTAGAATCAGTGGCAGGTTTTCGTATTTTTCTTCCACAAGTAACGCAAATACTGATTAGTTTCATCAAAAAGTCCTCCAAGAAAACTAGTTTGTCCCAATACTTGATCCAGGACTTTTCTAGTCTTCTATGTTGGGTTCAAAATTAGGAGGCTATGGAGTTGAGCATTGATAGTCGTAAACTCAGAAATGGGTTGACTGTTAAACATCGGTTATAAAATAAATTTTATATCGCGAAATTTTCTCACTTTGACTAATCTGCATTATTTTTACAATGATCAATTCTTTCGTTCGAAATTAAATTTATCAACTCTCACGATAATATCGCATTCATTTAAGGGATAGAGCACTCGCCCCCCAATGAGGTGAACCGGGTTCTAATCCCAGCAATGGCTGGTCGATACGAATTCCACACCCGGCTCGCACCGTGTACAGTGCTGACGTAAAATGTCCTCAGTGATAGATGGATCATGGGTTAGAATCCCCTTGCCGCCAGGCTAACCGTGTGAGGTTTTCGTCATCTTCCTCTCTATGTAACGCAAATGTGGGTTAGTTCCACCAAAAAAATTCCTCCATTAAGGCAAAATTTCTCCCAATATTTAGGAGTTCTCTTGTCTTCTGGATTTGATTCACAATTACAAGAATACAGAGTTGAACATCGGTAAACCCTAAATTGGGTCTGCTGTTCAACGACGGTTATAAAATAAAATAAAACAAAATATCGCACTCAATAAGTACCGTTATCGGTATTACTCCTTTTTTAAACTTATTCGATATTTATAGTTGTGAATAATAATTGCGATTTAATTGTTGTCGATATTACTCTTCAATAATAATATTCGCCACGATCGTTTTATATCGTTATCAACAATCGATGCATATTAGATAAATCGAAATGTTTTTTTTCTTTTTTTTTTTAAATATCCTAATCTCTCAGATATTAAACAATGTTTCGCCTAGCAATATTTTCCTACGTTTTAATTTCACTAAGCCATTTTTTTTTGTTAAATATTTTTTTAAATATTTTCGATGTGTCGCGCATGGTGACAAGACTATTTCGAATTACATCTATTAAAACATCGTCAGAAGAGGACCTTGAGACAGCTTTCGCGTCAATCAAAAATAGGCTTTCACAGAATCGAAAAATAGAAAATTATGGCATGATTTCTTCTCACAATGAAAGGAGATGAAGGCTTCTACAAAATTCGTCGGAAGAATTTCGACCGAAACTTTCTCGACTTTAAAAGGTCGATAAAAGTGGTTTAAGTAGGATTCCAAACCCTCATCTTACAACCACGCAGGAAAAAATAAAAAAATTCGGAGATCAATTACATCATTCGAAAGTGGATGCTGATGCACTTAAGAAAAAAATTCTTAACCTTAATTAGACATCAAGATCTGGAAGCATAATTTTATAGGTGCATAATCCACACGTGATTAAAAACGAGTTAATGACTGAATGCAATTATGAGGAATCTCTTAAAGCATCAAAGTTGCCTTTAAGAAGAAGCTGCATCGTTTTTATTATAATACAAAATGAATAGAAAAGAACATGAACATGAATTTCATCTATATTTATAGAATTCTATATGAATTTCCATCGTCCTGAAATTTTATTTTCCTAGCGTATAAACAAAGATATACTTCTTTTCAATTTTTAATTAAAAGTAAAATTCAACATATAATCTGTTCGTAATTGAAGACTAATAAGATAAGTTTGAAAGCAATTATGACAGATTAAGAGATGTGGAATTATCTATCTTCGTCTTTATATTCGTTTCTACATACCTATCTATATATCTATCTACAAATTAGTTTTTTATTTCAATTCTATATGAAGCAGCTAGAAATTAATTAATTAATTATTATTAACTATTTATTAATTACAAATTATTGAAACAATGTTTTTAGAATCTTCGTCAAAAATTTATTTGTACGAAACAGTTGTGGAAAAGAACGAACATTAATAAAAGAAACACGATAACTAATTTTTATATTGATTTCAATTTATCTTAAAATTTCATTTTCCTGGTGTATAAACTAAGAGTTATTTTTTACCAATTTTTAATTAAAAAACTTTAGTGTTCGTAATATTAACGAATTGAAAGCTTAATGTACTAAGTTTAAAAGCAATTATGCCAGATTAAGCGATATGGAATTAGTTATCTACATAAACGTTCTTCATATTCGTTTCTACATACGTATATATATATAGCTATCTACGTATTCGTTTTTATTTGAATTCTATATGAATTGTCTAGTAGTTTTTGTTTATTAAGGATAATTTCGAAAGATTGTTTTTAAAATCCTCATCAAGAATTAATCTATACGAAACAGAAGTGGAAGAAAACAATATTATTAAACGAAACACCATAACTAATTTTTTTAATATTGATTTTAATTTATAATGAAATTTCATTTTCCTAGTGTATAAAGTAAGAGATATTTCTTTCTAATTTTTAATTAAAAACAAAATTTAGTTTATATCCTGCTCGTAATACAACCAAATTGAAGGCTAATGTGTAATGTATGAAAACAATTATGATAGATTAAGAGATGTGGAATTAGCTATCTACGTCAGCTATTCCCAAATGGTGTTCCATAGAACCCTAGGGTTCCGTGGAAGGGGTTCCGCGAGTCAGCACTTTTTATAACCAATGATGAATTTTGAAACCTCTTATTATACTTAGATCCTAATTTATTCATAATTTATTTAATCTTGCAGTTAAATTTATGAAATTATTTCGGTGAAATACCAATGAAATAGAAATTGCCTCCTTTAAAGGAAACTATAAAATTTCTAATAACATATTGAACAATTTATTAAAAAAAACAAGCATTTATAAAATATTCATTATTATTTCCTATCGCGCTTTTCAAATAAAAATAATAATATTCTTTTATACAGAATAATGTTTCCATAATAACCATTTTCAGCGCTTATAGCAGTTCTTTTGAGTTATCATTTCAAAGTAAACCATAATAAGGCTTATTTAATCACTTCCAGCTTATGTATATACACCAGAAAACAAATTCATAACTATCTAGATAATAGGATAAGGACAGCAAATTTAACTGTCGGATTTAAAACTTAATTTAAGAATAATAATGATAAAACAACAATGCAACAATAAATTTATATTTTTGCATTATTAAAACTATTTCTAACTATTAACTATTTTCATTTAACAACTATTTTAACGAATATTCAGTTAGCCGTTTCTCGGAATAGTAAATGATTAAGAGGAAAACGATGACTTAATATGGAAATTTAAATTGTTTAAGGCAGTTCGGCGAATAAGTTTTATTAATAAACAATTCATATTTGTAATTATAAATTGGTTTCTAGGAAAGGAAACAAAAAATAAACATGAAAATACTTAGAATTGTTTTTCGGTAAATTGAGGCAAACGCTACAGAAATTACAATAAAATAGAAATAAAAAACTTAACTAAAATAAATAGATAAATAAAATAAAAACTTCGATAATTGATAATAAAAAAATCTGATAATTTAAGATTTGACCCTCATTATCCACTTTCGCTAAAAAAAAAAAAAAAATTAAAAAAAATTAAGCACCATAACACTGAAAAGCACGGTGAAAAATAAAAATTTTCTAACACAACAATTCACGCTCTAAAAAGGTTTTAAATTTTAGTTATTGAGAATTTTTTTTCATGATTATGCTTTCAATAAC